GGGTCAGCTATGAGTTGGTTCTGAGTCAATGCTACATAACAAAGGTATACCCTACTATCATCATATGGGCTGACTTTTATTCACAAAATTGTGAATATTTCCAGGTACCTATGCTAGATTATCTTAAAAATTATTTCTCAAAAGAATAGAGTTCTGCACCTAAATGAAAACAAAACAAAACACAACCCTATATTAGAGAAAAGGAAAGCTTTTAGCTTCTAATTTCGTTAAAAAAAGAATAAATCATGATTACTTGAAAGAATACATATGTATGTTTCTCCTCTAAAATTTCTAATAGCTGGCTCCATTGATTTGCAATATATGTTAATAACAGAAGCACAGGAACCCACTTCGTTATTTTTCTGTTTGGTCAATGCCAGACCAACTAATATAGATTCAGTGACCTACTTATCAAGTTACAAAATCTTTTTTTTCACTAACCAGAAGTTTAGATAGTATGATTTGCTATCATGTAGCTGAAAGAAAACAACAAAAATATCTTTATCTTCTCTCTTTTATAATAATGAAAATGACTAAGACATCTGAACATTTACTTAAGAAATTTAATCCTCTTCTACTTACCTAACATACCGAGAATTTCTTTCTTTTTTTTAATTGATTTTATACCTTGAAATAATCATACTGAATTGAAGACCAAAACTGTCTAGCCCAGGACAGAAATGAAAGTTATTTTTAGAAAAAAAAAAAAAACAGTCTCAAAGGAAAACACAGTATTGATGGTCACATTCGTGTTACACATTACTTATCCAGAGTGAGAAATCAGACCATTCTTCATTTCTTATTTATTCCCAGTATAATCAGACCACACTTCAGGTTTGTTTTCTTTTTCTTTTTCACCAGGCATCAAAATTACATCGTGAGAGATGTTTCAAAGCTACTGTCAGCACATGAAACCCAAGACAATGAACAACACAATAACCGTTGTCAACAGGCAAACTCCAGCAAGGGCTGAGTTTGGATTTGTTTTATGTTAAGGGAAACAAATCTCCTCTGGTGCTTAATCATTCATAAGAAACAGAAATCACAACATCTTGACTCAGAATTGGCCCACAAAGAGTCAACAAAAGCCAAAACTCCCCCCCCCCCCCGCAGTTGCCCTCTTGTTCCACCGACATTTTGAAAATGAAGGGGGGAAATTGAAAATGGAACAGAGTGAGAAACAACACAGAAATGATTGAAATGATTCCATATCCTATTTAACATCACTGAGATTGCATTTTACCCATCAGGCTTGTTTAAACTAGTTCTCACCACTAAAACCTTGCAAAGAAACTGACAGACATGCTCTTGCCTTCTAAGGTTGATCTAGAACTGTAATGGCGACGTGTGTGAATGTACGTTTGCATGTGTGTGTGTGCTTTGAATCCATTTTATAAATACTGACACACAAAAATTCTTATCATTGGTTAAGAGTCTTTGGAATCCAGTCATGCAGAGTTACAGGCAGGGGCAAGTTAAGTCTCATTACAAGATGAACATGGCAAGGTGAACAGTTTAAATGCTAGTAAAGGGTGGGGAGGTTTGTTACCATTAGAATATACTGGCCATTGGTCCCACATAATCAAAAGTTACATATACAAGTGTCCATATGTAAAGAGAGGCCTTCCACTTTAGCTTGACTGCCTGAGGAAACAGGTGGACATAAACCTTTCTCAGACAATTAAACTACTGTCTAATCTCCAAAAGAAATGATGAAATCTTGTCTTTTGATGACAAGAAAAGTAAAGAATATAGATATTTACATTCTTCTTTACTTGTTTTTACAGAAAGGAGTTTTCCTGCTTGGTGTAACGATGTCTATGAAAAATGCTAGACTCTTAAATTAAAATGTGGGTTGGTGGAGGATTGTGAGTGGGAAGTGAGCCTCTTCTTCAGATTTTACAAGGTTGAGATCAATAATTCTTGGATGTAATTTTGCTCTTATTTCTAAGTTAGAGAAGAAGTAGTTTAAAGCAAAACTAGTTGAAAATATCCTTCATATATTTCTATGCTTTTAAGATTTACATTTTCATATGCTAAGAGAAATAAGTAGATACGTATTTTGAATAATTTATATTTTCAACGGTTATGAAAATATTTTAGTCTGTCTTGGTTATTGTTTTTTTTTTCTTTCTGGCAGAGTACAAATGGATTTATACATTTCAGCCTATCGCACCTGTCCCATTTTCCAAAGCTTATTTTTTTTATTTGCCAGTCAGAAACTATCACTATCCTTAGGTAATATTTTTCTGATAATGACCACAGATTAAAAAAAATCTACCCAGATCCTTGACTCTCAGTAAATGAGCCTTTTGCACCTGGAAGAACTGATCCCCAGTTCAATTGTGGGGCAGTTATCCACAAAGTTCAGCCATCAGATTCTTGAATATGCAATAGTATTACCAGTTTGTATTCCACAAGAAGAAATTTTAAACTACAAGAAAAGGTAGTTTCCAAGACTCCATCATTCTCCTCACTGTGACCGTAGTAAAATGTTATGGTACCTGATAGGGTTCCATATCTCCCTTTCAAAGAACCAGTGTATCTTTTCTTAAAAATAAATACACTGCCCCACAAAACACATAAGTATAACAAAGATAACTAAATTGATGGCAATTTTGTTTCCAACTCTCATAATAATTGGATGTCTCCAGCATACACCAATGTCTCCTACAAACACTCTAAAGCATTTCTTTAAGGGCAACAGTGAAGCCAATATGCCCACAGGAACTGAGGAAAGTTTAGGGTTTTTTGGAATACCAAGCTGAAGTTCCAAAACAAATTCCAACCACAGGCATGGCCTTTACGTCTTTATGAATATTGTCCAAGTGACTTAACAAAGTCATACCTCAAAGATAAGAGAGCTCACTGGAAGTAACAGGTAGTAACATAGGAAAGAGTTGTTTTCTTCAGCAAAGGAGACTGGGTGCAGCAGGTATTATAGCCTATGAATTCTACCATATCATCTCCTGGAGATACTAGAACAAAGTGCACTTAAGTTTGAGAAAGACAGGCAGGGTTTGAAATGTTTATTTTCTTTGTTGCAGCACTGTCTGTCATGCTCTGATAACCAAGTACAATTAACCCTCCAGGAAGTCAGTAGACCAAACCTTTCTGCTCAAATTGAGCAAATTTCTCTGTTTTTTTCTAGTTCATAAAGCAAATCCAAATAATGATAACCAGCTTCCAAGTACAGAACAGATAAAAGTAGAGGCTCAAGGAAGAAAGCAATTGCAGGATGTCTTGTTCTTGTCTAGTTTAATCAGAGTGAAAGAAAGTCACATCTTCTTTCAGAGATGAGATAGTCTAACTTGTCCAGCACATCTCAAAGTCGGGCTGGAGATTTTCTTCTGTCTTTTGATGTCATTTTGAGGTGATGTGGTTTCAATGAGACTTCCTTGCTTTCTGACATCTGCCTGTGCTGTGCACTTAATCTCATACAGTACAGAGTGGGGAGTGAGAAGGCCACTGATGCGCCAGGAGAAGAGCACAGAAAATAAGGATTTGAAGCAAAGAATATGGAATGCAATGAAGTTAAACAAATAAGTATAAAAGGAGGTAGAACAGAAAGAAAAGCGAGAGAGGAACATTTGAGAAATCGGGTCACCTAGAATATATGAACTCAAAAGTATGTGTAGTGGGATAAAGAAACTGGACCACTTTTATTACAGAGGACCCACTACACAGTCTAACACTTGCCTGTCTACATTAAACCAATTAACCATTTGAATGAATCAGTCTTTTAAGTAGTAGTGTCCTCAAAAGGCAATAGCAGGAGTGGTTGTGGTTCCAAATAGACTCTATTGCTTGAAAAAAGAGAGCGCTTCCCTATGGTAGGTATTTAAGGCATTTTTCAGAGCACTCTTGCTTGCTCTATTTTTGTTGGGATTCCATTTGTCAGTCACATCACACCCATCGACCATCCAATCCATGCATTTCTTTCCTCCTGGTGAAATATCACCACACTGGTGAGCACCAAAATGGCTAGAGTGCAGATAACTGTGACAGATGCTTCACGAAAGTGAAGAAGAAGGGAAGCCTGTGGCTGGTACCTATTATTGCTGTGAAGTCACCCTGGCATGGCCGTGTATATAACCGAGATGTTTCACAGTACCTCCATTAAGTGCTCGGGAAAGCACGTGCATTCAATTTGAGATCAATTCACGTGATTCTGCTACACATGCTTCATGGCTTTTAAGACAAACTCATATTGCTAAAGCTATTTAGTAGCAGTAACTTATTGGCAGAGTTATTGCTGTCACATTTACTGCTATTACAAAACGCAGATGATCAGCCCTTCTTGGATTGGTCAAGGTTGTGAAAGTAAAACGACTAAGTATGAAACATCAACTTTACTATATGGAGTCAAGGAAGCCACTGAGGGATAAGAAGAATGTCTGTGGAGATGTTGGTAATACATGTGACACAAAGGATCACCCTGTGCTTCCTGCTGGGTGAGGGTTGGGTCTATTAATTAAGTTATTAATTTTTTTCCCCCAGAAGAGCAAAATACGATTTCTTCTCAAAATAGAATCTTGGTAGGGTAGATCCTGGGGGGAAACACACTGATGAGAAACACAAGCTACAATCTGAAAGGAGTCTAGCTAGGCTCTTTTTCTGGTAAGGAGGCGGTTCAACTCTGTTACAAGGAGGGATTCTTGACACCATCGATAAGCACAGAGAGCCTCCTTTATCTCCTGCCACTGCCTCCCATAGCCTCCTACTGTGACACATAATTTGGAAATGACAAATGATGTCTATTCTAAAAATGGGTATCGGTGTCTTCTAATATCTGGGCAATCACCTCTTTTAGGTCTCAGTCCATACTGCAACACTACGCTCTAATTTCTCCTACCTCTTCACTGTCAGAGCAAAAAAGCTCTCAGCTTCAGTCACACCTTCTTCCTTCTAAAGGCCAAACCACCTCACACCTGAAAACTATGATCCGCCCCTCCCCCCCACCCACTATCCATAAGCATCACATATGTTCTTTCTACACATTGGTATACAGGTGCCATTTAATCAGTTCAAATTCGGAAGCTACATCTTCAAGGGTCTGAGAGATCTCACTCCCTCCCTCCCCCTTGTTTCCCCCTTTACATGTTTTCTTATAAGACATACAGCTTAATCGATTAACAAACTAAACAGCTTATATACTGGCAATATATTACAGATGGGTTTAATGTCAGAGTAATAGATCACATGAAATGGACCATGTGGTACCCCAGTGCATGGTGTCTTGGTACAGCCCTGAGGACACTGACAGTAGCATCTCTAAGTAAGTAGTGCTGTATGAATACAGACACATGCGGATCTGTATCTACATCCATCTGACTAGGCCAAGAGGAGCAGGTAGATGCAAGATAGAGAAACACACATGCTGGATGGGCCACTGCACACCTTGTCATGCCATTTAAAAGGGCAGGTACAGGTAATTGGTTTTTCAGCCATTAAATTCACACTTTATGAAAAAGGCTTCTCTAACCATATTTGATTTGCTTTCTGGTAGTAAGCATCATTGGAAAAAGACCAAAAGCAAGAGCAACTAGAAGGTAAGTATACATTTGAGCTTAGCTGCGATACAGAACTCTGGAGAAGCAGGCTGAAAGATTTGTTTTGATTTTAGGTTTTGATTTTCTCCCTTGCCATTTTCTTGTCATCATGTGTCTACTTTTGCATGTGTGCGTGCGTGCGTGTCTGCATGTGTGTGTGGGGTGTGTGCGTGTGTGTGTGTGTGTGTGTTCCATCGCATCATCTCCTGAAGAACGCTGGGTTTCGCAGGCAGGCGGCTAGTCACCTGCAACAACCCAGGGGTCCTGCCGAGGCTTCCAGGCTGCTGTCAGTGTCAGATGCCAGGGTCTGGTCGGTGGACATGGAGGAGATGTCGTTGACGGACGAGGATGGAGGGAGACTCTCACTGCTGTTCACTGCTGCACCTGTGCTAAGAAAATGAAGACCAACATGACTAAATCTGGAACTTCTCCAAGCTCAAGGTCACATACTAGGCAAGGACGTACAAATACAAAAATCCATGCCCAATTCGTCATCCATTAAACAAATCTGCAGAGAACAACAGCTACTGGACATTATATTACTGTTGTTTGCTAATAAGTCGAGCATGACTCATAGCGACCCTTTGAACAAAAGGCCTTTCTATAACCATCCTCATTTATCAAAGTCCATAGTTTCCAGAGGCATGCTATTTAGGAAGTGGATGCCACTCAAATACTTAATAATGCAGTCATGTGGTTGACAGGTGAGTAGAGTGGGTATCCAATCTTGCTTTATATCACCTATGATGATTTTTAATAATGCCAGTTATAACCTCTCACCCCCAACTGCACTATTATGATGTAATTGCCCCTGGAGTTGAGAAGGGTGTCAAGGCATCTGCATTTTTCAAAAGTTTCAACAGAGTCTATAGACATGAGTTGAAGGCCCTCAACTTATGGAAAAGGCAACGAGGTATTTGGAGTTCTTGAGATATATAAATGTTAATACACTTGGCCGCTTTCTGAAAGTTTTGAGGTTTTTTATTTCACTGAAGGTTACCTGGGAAGAAAGGCCTAGTGATCCACTTCTATTTCTAACTCTGATCCTATGATGTACAGTTTTAGTCTGACATATGTGACACTAGTCACTAGGAACCCTGGTGGTCTAGTAATAAGGAACCACACTGCCAACTAAAAGGCACACAGTTCGAATCCACCAGCTGCTCTGGTGATGGGCAACCAACCTCCTACCCTGTGATTTACTGTATCTGAATAACCACTGGAGGGTCACTTGGCAACCTATAACAGCAACTACAATTGGTTAGAAAGAATAAGTGATAACTAGTTATGGAATAAGTGAAGTGAACAAAACCTTTTCCTACAGAACTTTCTTTGCCTGGATTATCCCAACACTGCGGGGGAGTTTTAAAGCAAGGTATATTGAGTAAATCCTTTTCATTTTCATTGTCATTGATTCAGAACTGACTCAGAGCTGATCCTTCTTCACCTTGTGTATCATTGAATTGGATCCGACTGGCACAGGAGGAGATTGTCCGTTGTCCTTCAGCAGAGGATCTGGTGGATTGGAAATGAGTGCCTTTGGGATTGCAGCACAGCTTCTTGCCACTAGGCCATTAGAACTCCCTTCCCACTGTGTTTTGAAGGCTCTATATCACATAGGAGGTATCTATCTTTCTCCTACAGAATAGCTAGTATAATACCATATAATCAACAGTGTGATATGAAACCTAAATCTGTATCAGAAAGGCAACTCCCTAGATTGAGGTATGAAGTTGAAGACTGAGCTCACATCTGGATGTGTGTTGACATTCTAGCTGACTTGCTTATATGGGCATCCATTTCTAAGAACTCTGAATTACTAATTTAGTGAGATAAAACCCTCATATTTGCTATCCAGGAGTATACAAATATTGAAATTCTCAGAAGAAGCTTGTCAGGGTAGTCATTTACTTAGTACTTGCTAAGTCATCACAACTTTGGGAACAACAAAGGAAAGAAGAGCCAGAGAGTTGCATTGCTAAATATAGCGAAGGTCTGAAGACAGTCAGTACACATTTTATCTTTGTTTTTACATGCATAAGCAGTCTAAATGGTGAAATGCATGCTTTGTGAAATATGACTCTACCATTGAAAGACATGTAATAAAATCACCTAATAAAATAACAGATGAGATATTCTCATGAAAATGATACCTTATTTGGGCATGTCACTCCTGCTTCCAAACCTGTCATAGTATGCTATTTTTTAAATTTTTTTAAATTTTTATTTATTTATTTTTATTTCAATGAACATCTACAGAGATTTTGGAATTCCATTTATTCATTGTTGCA